GAATCTGAATTTTTCTATCCATATGGGATCCAACAAAAACCTATCAATTGTACTCCACCTTGCCCCTTCCAATGAATTGCACCATGTAAATCTTCTACCCAACATTGGGATATCCACCAATTCTAATTGATCAACAAAATTGTTAAAGTCCTGCATCCATCTATTTCTCCTAGTACATCCTCTTCTTTCAACAACGAATCTAATCTCATTATAATCACCACCCATACACCAAGGCTTTTGGAATGATGATCTTATATTACTGATAAATTCCACATCTTAGCTCTGTTTACCACAGTATTAGAAGCATACATATTTAAGAACACACACTCAAATGAACCAGGAAGAGTACCTGAGAGATGCAAAATTGTCTCATGCACTGAATCTCTTGAAAATTGTCTCTCTTCACCCTCCATTTCTCTTATGTTCTGTTTGGTTCACTGGAATGAGAGTCTTCTTTATGGAATGATCATTCCCTCACAATGGTGAATGATTATTTCATTTGTAATGTATTTTTCATTATTTTTTATTCAACCAAACATGCGAATTCCATTCCCTGGCCCTCTGGCCCATCCTTACTTGCATTAAAAAACCTACCAACAAAATAAGAAGAGGAAGAGAAAAGAGGAGAGGGAGAAAGTCTAATAAACTGTTCCACATGAACCTAAATTCAATTTTTTTTTTTTTTTGCTTCTATTCTTATGGTTGCCTTCCATTACTTCTCTGTTTTCCCCTCTCCCTCTTTGGTGTTGCACTATTTGCATGGTTCAGTGGACAAAATTAGCTCTCCTTAAGTACAGAGAGGTAAAACTTCTTAATAAAGTAATTCTCAGCATACTGCTAAAGCATTTAGTTACTATCTACTTTTTTAACTGACCAGTTCTAGTATGTTCTTCATCTGAATTTATTATAATTTCTGTAGATCCAGCTTTTATTTACATCCATGTGAGGGCTCAGTTGTCCAAATTCTTACGCATGGGAAACTGAGTGCACCTCGTATATTGCGAATACATGAAGTAAGATTTTATTTGGTTTTGTAGGTAGTTTCATAAATTTTAAAGCTTTGTGCTTCATTTGCATTGAATAATGCACCTGTAGAAAGAGATACCACCGCTAGTTATTATTCGTTCAATATTGACCACCAGCTTATATTGATTTGTTTTCCTACTAGAGGTCCCGGTTTCAAATTATTTTGAATTTGATCTCTATTGAGGCCTAATTTTGGAGTCCAGTTCTGTGTTGGTGTTGGGTTTCAGTTTGTTGTGTAACTTTTAAGCATTAATTTTTATTTTCTCTTGTTAATAAGAAAGATGCAGAGCAAACATTTGTCTAAACAAGTTCTTATTTATTTAATTTTTTTTGTAGGTTATTAACCATGCCGTAGAAAAGATGGTTCCTGACAAACCATTGGATAACATGGACACTGATGGAACTTTTGCTCTTGGACTGCCAGTAGGGCAGTTACAAGGAGATGGTTCATTTCGGTTGAAGTCTTGGCAAAAGCTTAAGCCTTCTATAGAGATCTTGTGTAACAATCAGGTAAGTGAATATATTATAATGGATGTGAAAATATGAATGATGGCCTTTTGCTAATATTTAAGGAGCATTTTACGTGTTACAGTCGTTCAAATCATGGTGCCTTTTAACTCTTTAAATGGTGAAAAATATGCCACTCTAGTAAGCAGCCTTGTACAACGTGAACAAGTCAAACCCTGGCATAACTTCTTCTTGGTTGGAAACATTTATTTTAAATCACCCATTACTCGGTCTAGGTAACTTGCTTGAGAGGAAATATGGTAGCAAGGAACATGAGTGTAGCATGCACCACATGTTTAGAAATGGAAATGCAGTCACCCAACCCATTCATTTGAGTAGTTTGACGCTTAGTTTTTTCAAATGAGGCCCCTGACACATGTACTTTACAATGGCCCAGTTTGGAAAAACTTAATGTTAGCTTTTAAGACTATGGCCTTTTTGATTATTGGTTTAAAATGCTTTGAATAAGTTGTAAAAGTATTCGGTGCAACTTTTTGGATAATGTGTGAAAAGCTGAAAGTGTTTGATAAATAATCCAAGAAATAGTTTTTGGCTATGTAAAGTCTAAAATGTTCAAAGCTTTTGTAAACCTAACTATATTTTAAAGGGGATATGCCCATAATTACGAAAATACTGAGGGGCCTGTTCGTCCAACCTCCAAAGCTAAAAAAGTTGAGTTGGAAGAACACCCCTTGTGTAGCTTGGCAAAAGCTAGATTTTTTGCTAAAAGTAAGTTGATTAAGCTATACAAGTTGAATCCAATAAGCTAATACCAAAAGACCTTCCACTAGCTTTTTTGAAGTTACAATCCAAATTATCCAATTTAAAAGCTTTGTCAAAAGACCTCAATGTCTTTTTTGCTGCATTCTTTTACTATTGCAGCATGTTTCTGTACAGTCTACATGTATGGCTCGTATGTTGCACTGTGGAAGTCTCTTCCTCACCTACATGATTAAAGAGTATTAAATAAATATTAAGAACATCTACATGCTTTTCTACATCTATCTTGAGTTCTCCTTGTGTTTGTCATTATTGATTATTCCTTTGCCTGAAAATTTTCACATCTATGAGATGAATGACAATTAACAATGTTTATGCATTTTGATTTATCAGAAAAAAAAAAAAATGTTTATAGACTTGCTCTTGTTTGGTTGAGTTCTTTTGCACACTTTCGCTTGCACTTTTATTTATTTGACATTTTTAAAATCCATGCCAATCCCATGTTTAACCTGTTTCTTTAAAATTTGATTCTCTCACTTTGGGGATATCATGAATTGTCTGGTCCATTTATGAGATTTTCCTTTGAGTTTGAAATCCATTACCATGTAGATTTAGTGACTTTGAATTCTTTTCCAGATCCAATCCCGACATGAGCCTAGCAACAGTACGGGCTTATATATGGAAGAAATCAGAGGATCTTGTACTCAACTACCGAGTGGTGCAGGGCAGGTGACGTCATGTACATCCGGGTGGTGAGTACTGGCTTACTTTAACATATGTAGTATACCAATTTTGATTTTGGATTTTTTTTTTTTTGTTGGTTTATTCTTATAAACAATTTTGCGGCTTTGAGTTCATGTCAGTATACCATATCTGTTGCAAGTTTCTCCTCACTATTTTTAGTGTCAATGCTTACCTGGAATATAATTCTTCTTTGTTTTCTTCCGAGTGATTTTTTCAAAAGGAATAGACCAATACGGTTACACAACACTGGAAAAGGGACACTTGGTTCTCATTTTGTTTGAAAATTTTGTCAAACTTGAGTTTCTCATTTTGTTTTAAACGAACTATAAATATTGTACTTTTGGCTTGGGGTTTCCATGTCATGTATTCTAGTATTCTCTCATTTTGTTAATATTACGACGTTTAGATTCATATACCTAAGCCAAAAATGGAAACATAGGATAAACCTAACAGTGTATTGTCAAGTTGACTTGGTTGAGTCAAAGCTTAAAAGTTCGTTTAAAACATAAATTCCAATCTTGGTAGTTAGCAATAGTAGTAATTATAAACTAAGTGGTATAGATACGGACACACAGACTTGCCAATATTTAAAAAAATGCAACATACAATCCGCATAGAACATGTTAAAAATTTATAATTTTATAAATTTGTTAGATGTTCAATATATGAATAGTTTAATCAAAGGTAATGAAAAAAGAAAAACAGAGCAACATAACACTAAGTAAAATAAAGGATCCATCTATTGCATAACTTAAATATCAAAATATCATTTACATCACATAATTGCATTCTAGAATGAAAAATAATTGTAAAATATTACAATACACATGATGTATTCAACTTATAAATGTATTTCAAAACATATTTGGAGTGCAGAAGTTGCATTCTGAAGAATGCAAAATATTACTACTATTATTATGCAAAGATTCATCACGTAAGTTGTGTTTGGAAGGTTCAAGTGTCCAATCAGTGTATAAAATATCTGATATTATGAGTTTAAATTTTTTAGTTAAGACACGCTGCCTCCATAAACGTGTCCATGCTGCTTATATTATAAGCAGTGAACTATCATCTGTTGATTCATTTATTTTTTTGTTTCAATGTTTGTACGATTGAACTCAGGCCTATGGTAATGTAGATTTTGTTTTGTGCTTGTGTAGAAAACTTGGAGTTCTTGTAAGTGGTGCTTGTGTTGATCAGATTTATTTGCAGCTTCCTTGTAAATCTCGATAGCCAATGTCAATTACCGACTTGTGTAGCAGCATTCCCAAATTTGCCATGAATCCTTTCACAAGCAGAACTTCAAGATATTTGCAGTTATAAATCAAAATTATGTTTTTTTCAACTTTAAATAAAAGGTCTACTGAAGGACAACATTCTGTTTTAAATTTTTGAATAAAAAAATTGTTTACATAGCATTCAAATATGTTGGCATTGGTTTCAACAAGTTTAGCTCCTTCAAAGCCTTCCCCTTGGTTAAATTTCAGGCAATGCCTTATCTTAGGACATCGCCCTATAATCAGGATAAGATACAAATCCACTTGATAACCAGGATAAGATGCAACAAAATACTTCGTACAACATTGTAACAACCCAAGTTCTTAAATAAACAAACATTTTGTTTCCTTCAGGATGTTTCCAGGACACACATTGCAATTCCCCCATCACACCAAACCGAAAACCAAACACCAGAATTAATCCCGGAAAACAAACTTATTCTGCACAACATTTGTTTCAAAACACGATAAACCCTATAGAAGCGTGGCTTCTTGTTGAGCTGATGATGCCTGAAGCAGCCCATCCCTAATCTGCTCAGCTATTTCGCGAACAGCTCCAGGTCCATGTGGGATGAAGACGGCCGAGGACTTGGAGGATGCACCAATTTCCTTCATGGTGTCGAAGTACTGTGTGATTAGGACCATGTCCATGACGTCCTTAGCAATAGTCCCCGGCACATTCATTGAGAAGCCAAGCACACTTTCTCTTAGACCGTCCACAATTGCCTATCGCTGCCTAGCAATACCCAATCCTGCCAGATACTTAGACTCGGCATCGCCCTCTGCTCGCTTGATTTGTACAATTTTCTCCGCTTCTGCTTTCTCATTAGCAGCTACCCTCAACCTCGCAGCTGCCAAATTTCAATTTTTTTAGTGACATCAAAAGATCCACTTTTTTTTTTTTTTTTGGTTGGTTTATTCTTATAAACAATTTTGTGGCCTTGAGTTCATGTCAGTATACCATATCTGTTGCATTCCCAAGCATTTCAACAAGTCTTGAGTTTCTCCTCACTATTTTTAGTGTCAATGCTTACATGGAATATAATTCTTCTTTGTTTTCTTCCGAGTGATTTTTTCAATAGGAATAGACCAATACGGTTACACAACACTAGAAAAGGGACACTCGGTTCTCATTTTGTTTGAAAATTTTGTCAAACTTGAGTTTCTCATTTTGTTTTAAACGAACTATAAATATTGTACTTTTGGCTTGGGGTTTCCATGTCATGTATTCTAGTATTCTCTCATGTTTGTTAATATTACGACGTTTAGATTCGTATACCTAAGCCAAAAATGGAAACATAGGATAAACCTAACAGTGTATTGTCAAGTTGACTTGGTTGAGTCAAAGCTTAAAAGTTCGTTTAAAACATAAATTCCAATCTTGGTAGTTAGCAATAGTAGTAATTATAAACTAAGTGGTATAGATACGGACACACAGACTTGCCAATATTTAAAAAAATGCAACATACAATCCGCATAGAACATGTTAAAAATTTATAATTTTATAAATTTGTTAGATGTTCAATATATGAATAGTTTAATCAAAGGTAATGAAAAAAGAAAAACAGAGCAACATAACACTAAGTAAAATAAAGGATCCATCTATTGCATAACTTAAATATCAAAATATCATTTACATCACATAATTGCATTCTAGAATGAAAAATAATTGTAAAATATTACAATACACATGATGTATTCAACGTATAAATGTATTTCAAAACATATTTGGAGTGCAGAAGTTGCATTCAGAAGAATGCAAAATATTACGACTATTATTATGCAAAGATTCATCACGTAAGTTGTGTTTGGAAGGTTCAAGTGTCCAATCAGTGTATAAAATATCTGATATTATGAGTTCAGATTTTTTAGTTAAGACACGCTGCCTCCATAAACGTGTCCATGCTGCTTATATTATAAGCAGTGAACTATCATCTGTTGATTCATTTATTTTTTTGTTTCAATGTTTGTACGATTGAACTCAGGCCTATGGTAATGTAGATTTTGTTTTGTGCTTGTGTAGAAAACTTGGAGTTCTTGTAAGTGGTGCTTGTGTTGATCAGATTTATTTGCAGCTTCCTTGTAAATCTGGATAGCCAATCAATTGCCGACTTGTATAGCAGCATTCCCAAATTTGCCATGAATCCCGGGGAGCAGTTTCCTAGTTGAATAATTGGTATAGGAATTTTGAGCTGTTTAGCCAACATGCATGATTTACAACACATCACTAAGATATTGTGGGGCTGTGTTTGCACGTGGCAATAGAAGGTTTTTGACTCTGAAGGTGAAGGAGAATTATTGCTAGGTACCGAGCTTCCTGAGGCGAGCTGTAGTATAGTTTTGGGTTTAAAAAAAAAAATTTGTATTGTGGGGTACAGTACCTAGCAAAAACCACACTGCTACGGTGGTGATCAATTTTTCCTGGGAAATAATACATACAATTAGGATTCATGTCCACCTAGTTTGTTTTATAGAAATATTTCGTTTCTTTTTTTCGCATGCCCTCTCTTCTACATGTTGTTTATGTTAAGAGAGGTTTGACTAATTGAAGACTGTTGTTGCTGCAAGGCATGCAATTATAGTAGTAATTGGGATTTGTTCACTGCTCTTGTTGTCAATTTGATTGTAGTGTATGAAATTCTTGGTTTGTGGTTTATTTTCTTTCTAGGTGTGGTGGACTACACATTGATTTTTCTGTGCACATAGCATTATTATTTGTACGATCCACCCACAACATAATAGAGCGATGTTATATAAATAGAATTTGTATACAGAATGTGAGAGGGTAATTTTGATAAAAATTGGACCGAGCTATGAAGTGGACTTTATGGTCCAAAGTACGGACTGGGTAGAAAGGGCCGAGAAGTTACTCCGGCCCAAGAGAGAGATAAAGTTACTCCGGCCGAAAGAGATGAAGTTACTTCGGCTGAAGAATTGTAAAGCTATTTCGGTCCAGGCAATTTCGAGCTAGGCCGGTCTCAGAGTCAGTCCGGTCATGGTGTATTCTGAATAGGTCGATCTAGCGGTACCTTTGAGTTAGACTGGTCTTGGAGTTATACCGGTCGCGTTTTGTTAGTTCGGTCCAACCATGCCATGTGCTGTACATGAGAAGTCGATGTAAGAGAAATGAAAGGAAGAACTAGTTCGGCTTATTCTGCGGCTATACATAGCCATGGATACTTCGGTCAAATTGTAGTCCGGCCATGATAAAAACCATCCCACTTGGTTTAAGCAGTGTGGGGGGGTGTAAAAGGAGAAGCATTATCCTTTTAGAGTATGAATCCTAAGAGGACTCAGCATGGAGGAATAAAAGTCCTACTAGGATTGTGCCACTCGAAACCTATAAAAGCTCACAAACATCACCTTGGAAGAGGTAACACACAACATACAATTTTGCTTTCTGAATACATTGAGCTTTGTCTATTTGTCAAGTTTGCTGACTTAGGCATCGGAGAGGTTTCCGGCACACACCCGCCGGCTAGCTCACGTTTGTGTTTTCAGGTGACAAAGCGACGTCGTACGGAGGAGCGTGGACTTAGTCAACAGGATTATACGAGAAAGAATATTTCTTCCCCGTA